TGATGAGTATTAGATAATGTAAAATTATACAGAATGAATGTTGTGTGATTGACCAGGGCCCTGTGGAAATGTATTGAATGTATGATCATACATATGTCTTTGTATTGTTTTGTAACATGATGGACTTTTGTATTATGGTAAAACTGGAGGGCATTTGTTGAAAATATGACCTATTGTAACCCTTTTTCTGCATTAGCTCTCCTCTTTGAAATATTTCTAACTTTTACATAACGTTTAGTTCTTATTTTGAATAAATATAGCAATTATTTCTACTTCGTTTTTCACTGCCACTGTTTGTATTAACCCTTTGACGCGCGGTGGTCGCGCCCTGAAACCAATTTTCGAATATTTTTCTTCTCTTCCTTCCAAAATTTTTGAGTGAAAATCAATTGATTACTGATCTTTTACCTCTAAATAACACAAAATGTCTGCAGAAATCATACATGTTTTAGATCTTAGTGCTTCAAATCGGATGCCTTTTAAAATTCATTTTTAACGAGACAAAATAACTACCTTTTATTACACACATCAGGATTTCTATCATAAACAATAAAAAATAACAATAATTAAACTGCATATATTAAAACAACCTCCAAATATATGTGGCATTTGCTTTGTGGTTTCAGGGTGCAACCACTGCACCACTAGAGCATTGTGTCACAGTGCTCTAGAGGCTCGGTGGTCGCACCTTGAAACCACTGCTCTTCACAAAGGCGTTTACTTGCTTCTCAGATAGAAATGTTTATTTTTACCGGATATAGATAAGGAGTTTTGAAATCACAGAGTTATTTTATTACTATACAATACATGCACCTGCCCAGTAAAAAGGTCTTTCTTTTCCAGAGACTTTTCTCTGACCTCAACACACTTGCTCCCCAAGCTAGTATTGTGATTTTATAAATTATTTCCTGTGGTTTAATTTTAATGTAAATATACTTTGTAATTAAAAATAGAAATCACATAAAGTTTTATTTAAATTAAAAATATTTTCTGAATATTTTGGGATGAAATATGAATAAAATAAGTATGAATGGGAAACGAATGATCTGTATCAAAGGCAAAAAGACCAAGCCCCTCCTCATTAACATAAAAAACCACAAATTTCATGTGCCAGATGAAAAGAAACTAAATAACGCTTGACATATACCAGTGAAATTTAGATCCAATCAGTGTACATTTTGTAGCACAAAGAAGAAACCTCATAGAAGAAGATACATGTGGCGAAACGTGCAATGTGGGCATGCATGTACCAAAAAGACAAAACATGCTTTGAACAGTGTCACAAAAAATATTTGTTGTTTGAAATTTAAAAAAAAAAAAAAAAACTGAGTCTTTTTTTTTTTATCCTTATTTTATTGAGTTTTTTAATCCATTTATCCAAATGTGCTTATAATGTAGGTACTTATCTTTTCACTGCTATAGAAAAATTACATAAATGTTTATTTTTTAATTTTTTCTGACGATTTACTTTATAAAATAATGTAAAATATATATATATATATCATATATTATGCAATTCCTATATGCATTTTGTTTTAAATTCGTAAATTTAGTCATTTATTGGAAACGCGCTCGGAGAAAGGTAAGTTTTTTTTTCCTACTTACCTCGGTAAGTTTCAAAGTCCTAGACGCGCTGTGGTTTCACAGTGCGACCGCCACCCACAGAACAATGGGCAGAAGTAGATTTTTTTTAAATTCATATATTATTTGTCTCTAGGATCATAATATTCAATTTCTAGAGCTTTTAGTTAAAAAAATTATAAAAATAATATTGTGCGCGTCAAAGGGTTAAGAACGGACTGTTCCAGCTTAATTAAGATGCAAAAACGAAACTTGATGTTATGTCATATGGAAAGCTGAGTCGTGCCGATAGCTGATTGGCTGCCATGAGATGACGTCATGTCTACTTCAGGTATAAGTATCTCGCGTCACTCTGGCTTAACCCTTTTCTCGTTCCTGTATCATTGCTCCTTGGTGTGCCGTTCCAGTGCTCATTGGAAGATGTTATCGCGATGCGTGCCGTCCAGCGATAAGTACCGTGGTTCCAGTCCATGATGATTTTTCCTGAATTCTGCAAAACGGCTACGATGTGAGCAACTGCCGTGGGCAGCATCCTGTTTCCAAAGTTAAGGGACGTCAAATTCCAAGCTGTGATTTCTCATGAGATGATGCAGCTGCATGCTAAAGTCTGCAAGCTGTACATTCTTACAGCATTCCATGCTCTTCATATGGTGCCTACCGCTTGAATAAGGCAATCCTCACTTTCCACTAGCCCTTCCCTGTACAGTAGCCCCTGGCGGTGTACAGTGGCATTTCTGGGCATGGGTTTTTATGCAATTCTTAATTCTTATGATGTGCTCTGCCTCTCCCAGAAGTGTGTCGCAACATTTATGGGACATACTGTATATGTATATATAAAATGTAATATATATACTTACGTACATAAAGTGATTCTTTATAAAATCAATATTAAAAAAGTTAGAGTTACATACAGGATTCATCCAAAGTGTGAGGGATTAGAATGTATTAATTGAAAAAAAAATTCTTTAAAAAAGTAAAGAAAGCTATATATCATGCTATAAAATCTGTTTATATAGCTGAAAAGGCTGAAAGATTTGCAAATGATCCCTAGATGAAATAAGTAGTTGTTTATGTATGTGAACCATAAACAAGATATCAGGCTTTTTTATGCTTGAAGACTGAGAGTAATTAAGTGCTGTGAGTTGTCATTTACTCAATAGAAGATTGTGTTTATGATTGACAAAACAAGGTATGGGGGGGAATCATCTCTCCCATTATGAGGGCTGTCTGAAAAGTATCCGATCTCAATGTGTAGATGGCAACTCAAATCAACTGAAGGTGGGGGGACTTGTTTGGGCATCACTTGGTAACTATCAGTCAAAATTTCAGTTATTTTGAACACGAATGTTTTGTTTGAAATCACTTTTGTGAGTTGATGTGACCGTCATCGTGCTGTCATTAGATACTTGTTTTTGAAATACACTGTGCCCGACTCCTCTTTAACCTGGTATGGGGAATCTGCACCATCATTTATTACTGTGAAATTTTGGCAGCTGAATTTAAACATGGTCATACCAGCTTGGGTGACAATGAACATTCAGGATGGCCAAAAGCTGCAACCACTGATGAAAACACAGCTAAAATCCACCAAATTCTGCTGGACGACCATTGAATCAAGGTTAGCGAGATAACAGAAGCTATGAGCATATCTAAAGAACGTATTTGCCACATATTGAACCAATATTTAGATATGCGCAAGCTGGCTACCTGTTGGGTGCAGAGTTTGCTCACTTTGGACCAAAAACGTGTCCGAACAAATATTTTCACCATTCTGTTGAGGCAACAAAGAGTTTTTCAACTATTAATCACTGTAGATGAAATCTGAATTCATCATTATAGCCCAGAAACAAAAACGGCTACGATGTGAGCAACTGCCGTAGTCAAAACAGTGGACTGCAAAGGAAAAATCAACTCCAAATATGGCAAAAACTGTTCCTTCTGCTGGAAAAGAGATGACAACCGTTTTCTGGGACAGCCATGGGATTGTCTTAATATATTTCTTAATATACAAGATATTAATATATAATATAATAATAATTGTCTTATAGATTATCTTGAAAAGGGAAAAACCATTTTCAGAGCATACTATACAACGTTACTTAACAAAGGCAGAAATTGCGGAAAATGGCCACACTTGCAAAAGAAAGAAAAGTTTCACCAAGACAATGCTCCATTTTCCACAGCGGTTGCGATGACGAAAATCCATGAATTACCGTTTGCACTGCTTTGCCACTCGCCCTATTCGCCAGACCTGGCATTAAGTGACTTCCCCCCCTCCTTCCTTAAGCTAAAGAAGCACGTGGAGGACAAAGATTTTCATGAAATGAGACTTTGCAGAGTTATTTGGGCAGTTAAAAGGATGGGAGCATCGCTGGAAGAAATGTATAGACTTACAAGGAGATCATGTTGAAAAATAAAGATAATTGGAGAAATAAATATCTTTTTTCTTTGGGAGGTCAGAAACTTTTCAGACAACCTACGTAACTTTAAAAGTTGGCAGATAAGCATTCTGGCAGAAGTATAAAAGAACAGATCATTCTTTTTGTAGTTACTCACAGATCGCTGTTTATTTAATTAAATAATCTTTATAGACAACTTAGAAATAAAGCATATAAAAAACTTACTCAAGCTTTGGAACTATCTGATAAATAAATTCATAAAAACTTATAATTGTTGGTATAGCAGCTAAAATTCTGTAATGGCATTAAAAAGAACAACAGAATAGTCATCCTCTTTGTAAAGTCGCATGAATTCTGCTAATTGCAAATCTATTGGAGGTTGTAAATTATTTTTTACCACATCGTTATACTAAACTCCAAAGTTTTTCAATATTTTGAGAATGTGTACCAGTATAACTAGTCCCGTAACATTAAAAACACATTCCCAATTTAAATCACTCCCATCCCCCCAAAAACAATCGCAAGAAAAACAGAGAAATAATGGTTAGCTTTATATCCTTCTTACAAAAACTAAACTGGCGTATTATTGGATTTGCAAAAAAAGCAAAGGGAAGATATTATGACTGTGATGTCATACTTATCTATTGTTGGTATGAATCACACTATTTGGTGACAATTTTCATTTGTCAAAAAGGTTCAACGGAAAAGTATATAAATAGCCATTTCTGTTATATCCTTGGTAGATGTTTTTTTAGGAAAGGAGAATATCTGCCCTGAAGAACCTACTATTTGCATGAAGGATACTAAGATTTTTAGCTGATCATTTAGCAGGATAGTTATATCATTACATTTGACATTAAAATTTCCTAATCAAATGTTTTTGACAATTTTTTAAAAAATATTACTGTTTTAGAAAAATAACTTTAATTTTCCTTTCTTTTTACATTTTACAGTATATGTTTGTGATGTTAATGTTTATAAAATTTAAATAAATAAATAACATTTATTTTCTCATTGCAGAGTTTTCCCTAAGGTTAAAAGCAGAAGTGCTCATATGAAAAGTCATAGGCAACCAGATAGTGAGAAAAAGAGCAAGTATGAATCTTAAGTAGAGTTTTTATCATAAAACCATAGACAAATTTTACTGATGCCAGAAGAAAATGAAATTGCTGCAAGATGTGGCACATCTATTAATGAATATTTGCTCATTTTGTAACTTTGCTGAGATTTTAAAGTTCTGCAGGTTTGGGGCTGTGCTCAGATCAAAAACAAACTTGCCTTCTTTTGCCTCAATACCTTTGTTCAATCTATGATGTGTATTTTGTTACAGAAGAAATTTTTAAGTACTTATGCAGATTTTTAATGATTACAAATTCATTATTACTCATGTTTAACTGAAAAGCATTCTTAGTGTATGACATTATGTTATTTTGCTGAAATAGTAACAATGTAACTGCACAACTCAGTTCCCCCCCCCCTGACATTACAGAGAACATAAGCTTATATACTTGAACCGTCCGGACCATTTTGGTGCCAAATTTATTTTTCCCCATTTTTAAGTTACTAACATTTTAAAATGAATTAAATGATTGACAGAATTAAATTACCTGTTATATAACTTTGGGAAGTTTTACGCGCAGTTATTTTCCAGTGGCATTTTTTAGTTTCAAAGCTCAATGGCTTGATTTGAGATTGCTGGGATCTAAGTTCAAATGTGTTATATGCTATTGATAAATAATGTTAAATTGTACTAAGCAGATTGGAGCTTAATAAATTTATAAAAGTTATGGAATAAGAAAGGTTGACACTTTTATATTATATTTTAATTGCAGTTTATTCCGTTTTGAATGTTATCTAATATAGCAAGTGCTTTTTCTGGGCATAAAAAATAAACTTTTTAATTAACATCCTGGCTTTTAGTTTTCTAAGATTACTAAAAATTTGCCACTGGCCTCTTTTTTTTTTTTTTTTTCTGTTCACTAATGGAACAAATTATTTTCAGTTGCAAGTGTATAAATTTTAAAGCATGTTAGAATTTAATTTTGTTATGAATGGCTTTCATTATAGGAATTAAAATAATGTGTCAGGTTCTTAACAAATCTGAATTTTTTTCATGCAATGTGTTTTATTGTTGCTATTACTTTTCTTGGACTTTGTGGTGGCTATGACAATCCATAGTTCTGAATGTGTTAAAATTCCTAGGAGATTGAAATATATATGTATATTAAAAAAGTATGCTGTTTTATGTTTTAAATGTGTGTTTGCCAAATATTAAAAAAATTATGTACTGTTAAATGCAGATGAGAAGCTTGTTGTATTAAAAGTTGCCCTATTTGTAGCATATCTGATGTATGAATATCATTATATAAATTTCCTTCCTGCAATACTTTTGTTTATTAAATATTTAATTTAAATTAAATTAATTTTTTGTATAAAATTTTGTATTTTTGATTATAAATATTTCTAGATTTTTATGTTTTTCACTAGCAAGGCTATAAATTGTTGCAACTGCTGTTGATAAAAAATATAGTGTAACAAATGGTTAAAAATTTATGCTGAAATATTTAAATTTTAGCAAATATAATTATATTGTATTTCTTCCAACCAATCTGTGAAGTTTCATTAATTACTTGTCATTCATTTCTATGAACGATCCATTTTTTATGGTAAATGAAAATTATTTCTTAAAAATTGAAGTTTTTGTACTCTTTATCATAGGTACAAAAATTTTTATCTAATATTTTAAGAATTATAGTTAGCATTAATAATTTTAAAGAGATTAGTTTATAAAAAAGTTCATCAAAGAAATTAATGCATTTGAAATAAAGTTCTTTAACATATTGGCTTCACATGGTTTTTTGAGAAAAGCTTTTGGGAAAAAAATAGCCTCAGAATTATTGTATATACATAAATATATAAATATATATATTGTGCAGAGTATTATTGATACCGGTGAATATTTTATTCGACATTTAAAAAATGAAAAAGAATTTTAACTCTGTGATCAGAAGAAAAAACTTGATATTGTGTGTGATGATTTAATTCCAAAGAACATTCTCAGATATTTATATTGATTTAAAAAAAGGTACTAAACTTAAATATACTGTATATTTGTACAAAATAAATGTTTGTAAAGTGGAACATCAGACTTGCCACTTTTTGGTCCAAATTTGTTTTAAAGTTAGACCATGAAAGTGAAGATAATTTTATTTCAGGAAAAAAAAAAAAAAAAAAATTCCTTTTGTAAAATCATTTCTCTAAATAAATATGCATGTAATTTGACTGGTAACTGACACTTGTTGATACAACATTTGAATTTACTTGTCTGCTTTCTGTAAAATATCTTTGTAAAATAGAATAATGATACACTAGTGAAGGAATTAGTATTGCATTAGAAAGCTCACATTAAAAATGCTGCATTAATTTTTTTTATTACTGGATTAAAGAATCATACCAAGGTCAATTTAAAAAAAAAAAAACTTTAAACTTGGAATTATATTTTTTTGAAATTCGTGCTCAGTGCAGAATAACTGAATTCATAATAATTATCATTAATAGAGTGTAATATCATCATTAACCATGTAAAATAAATCTAAAGAAAGTAATGGCTTTTAATTTTTAAACTATCTTTAACTTTTCTGCTTTGCACAAAGTGTGTTACATATCATCATCCATATTTCATACTACTTACTTGTGTATATCTATGCATATATGCATATTCACTTAGAGATTCATAAAAGCATAGTTCTGTATTAAATGTAGTCCATGCTTTGTTGTATGTATTTTTTCACTCTATCTAAATTAATTTGATATCAGATAAAATAAAGACTTGGCAAGTCTGATGATAAAAAAATGCAATGTATAGTCAGTATATTTTCCCTTAATTTATTTTTTCTTTATCATTTTATCTATGCATGGATAAAAATTTATCCTTTCCCCCCCCCCTCTGGAATAAAGCAGTAAGTATGAAGCACTAAAGTTCATGTTAAGTATGCATAATTTTTCATAAATGTTGCTGAATTGCAACTTTTTTATGTTGTACATAGAAATGATTGTATGTATTAAAAAAAACTGTAACATTGTTGTCCATGTTTCTGATGTATTAAACTATGTTGCCGCTTAGAATTCAAACTGTAAAGGTGCATCAAATCTAAGTATACTATTTTTTATTTTTGTTTGTTCTCTGTTGAATATGTGTGCAATATTGTTGCACTGACTAATATTGTGTAAATAATACAGTTGAAATTGTAAAATGTGAGTTGTCAGGAACTGAATACTGTTGTATATAAGATGTTGCTTAAAATTCACAGAAGTATGTCCTGTTAATTTTGTTACCTGTAACCCTTCTAAAATGAGTTTTATTTTCCTGAGCTATATAAGTATGTGCATACTTTTCAAATATGCTTTTTAATGCATTTGGCTTGCTTCTTTTTCTATATTCATTTATCCATACTTATCTGTTTTCGATATGTATTTGAAGCGTAAATGAACAGGCAGAAATTATATATTTTTTGTAATTGAAAAAAGGAGTCTGATTTTCTTCACCCATTCTAACAAGAGAGATAGTATTGGATTTCACGTAAAATATTCTTTTGATGTTTTAATGATTAATTTTCCTTCTGCATCTTGTAAATTAAATCATAAAAAAATCAGCTCCCTATAAAAGAAAAAGTGCTTTAAATATTTACTCATTTTTCAACTTTATGTAATTAAAAAGCCTTATATAGTTCAGAAATTTTAATATTTTTTAATGTAGATTTTTGCTGTCTTAATGAGCCTTTTCAGGATTTGATGTTCTTTTAAGTAAAATTTTATTTTCATTATATTGCGTAGGGAGTAAAATCTTAAATTATTATGGGATCTGTTAATGTATATTAATTGCAATCTTAAATAAACCATTCTACCTGGCAAAATTGCAAAATCTCGATTGATGTCTTTTAAGTAAAATTTTATTTTCATTATATTACGTAGAGAGTACAATCTAAAATTATATATATAATGGGGATCTGGTTAATGTATATTAATTTGCCAAATCTTTAAATCAAAACCAATTCTACATGGTGCGAAAATTTCAAAATTCCATTATGTTCTGGGCATATATAAATTGTAACTATTATTTTTGTTTATAAATAAGGGATCATTAGTTAGTGTCAAGCACATTGTGTAGGATCACTCTTTTTTTTTTTTTTTTTTTTTAGGAACAGAAAAATTGTGTTATTTAAGCTAGTGGGAAAACCCCTCCACATTCCCCTTCGGACCCCCTTTTTTTAATGAAAGTTCAATGACTGACATGAATTATATAGTGACAAAGAAAATTTTTGCTTTACTGCTGCATGAATCACAGATTCTAGTCATTTAGTCATTCTACAAATACAATCGAAGTTAGCAGGAGTTTTGTTGTTTTCAATAGTTATGTGAAATTATTTTTAGTAGTTTTGAAAAAATTACATCATGAATTATTAAAATGTAATATATTTTGAACACATAAAATTTCAAATTTTCCCTTTCGTTGTTACTGTTATTGACTTTAAAAAGGAAGAGACATTATTGAAAATTTCGAAGTTTTGTGTGTGTTTATATATATGTATAAAAAAAAGAGCCATTCTTCATATTTATAATAAATGCATATGCTCACAGACTTCATCAATGATTTGTTATTCGTTTCCTTTCTAATCTTGAAAAATATAGTGCTTTATAATTTTTCCCTGTCATCATTGATATTTTTATCTTTTCTAGAACAGGGCAGCTATTAATGGGACATCCAGTCATTACTCATATGATGTGGCAGTATATAGCTATACTTTTTTCATTATTGCTGAATGTGATTTTGCTGTATGCTACATGTTGTATGATATGTATTTGATTACTTGCATATCTTTAATATACTTGAAAAATGCTCTGTGCTTTTTCATTTTCTTGAAGGAAAAGTTCTACACGGATATCACTGTTAATTACTGTTGCTGTGACCTTTATGCAGTTTTTTTTTTTTTTTTTTTTTTTTTTTCCCCAAGTGTTTTAGATAGTTTTGTCTAAATATTTCTTTTAAATTATGTAATTTTTACTGGTTTCAGATGAAAATACATTGGGGCAAGATGGCGAATCATTTCCAAATCTATGTATTAATTTGAAATTTCAGGACTGTAACCTTTTCCATCTGTGTTAGCTGACACATTTATTTCAGTAATCGAAACATGTAACTATAACCTTAATAAAACAGTAATGTAGTATGTAAGATAGTTATAACATTTAAAGAGGAATCACTGAATTGAAGAATAAATTATTATTTATGAACTGCCAATCTTCCCCACCACCACCACCGTCCGGGGTAGGTAAACTGTAGGTACAGTCAAAAGTCTTTAATCCAGACTCGTCAGGACTTCGACGATTCCGTATTATCGGTTTTTCCGGCATACAGAAATTATAAAATTAAAAATATGAAACCATAATTTATGAAATAAAGAACAATTATAATCTAAAGGGTGTCAAAATTTACAAAAAAAAAGCTTAAATTTATTTGTTACTTTATTAACATTTTCTTTCAACGCACACGCAACATTACGTTTGAAATTAGAAAATTGCAACCAGAAAACTATTTGATGTGTATTCATGATATTTATAATGAATTTGATTTAAATTCATAAAGACAAGTACACGTATGAATACTACATTTAGTAAGAATATAAGCCAATAAAAAAAAACATCTGCCCTGAATAGGATAGGCTGACAGATCAACTTCCACTTCATGCCGCGCATGCGGCGTTCCCCTTCCCTCAGAGCAGTGTAAATTGATAAGCAGATGTTCATTTAGAAAACAAGGATTTCCATTTTTTGAAGCATTCCACTTTTGTTTGATGGAAAGAAAATGTTTGCTTTGTAGAT